AACATCAGTTATTTATATTATTCTATCATGTCTGCCTACTTCTAATTTCAGCAAAAGGTGTAAAATTTCCACACATTTGTTTGTTTGTTTTAAGTACTGAGTTAAAAATGGCTAATACAAAATTGACAATGACAGATTCTACTTTTATGTCAGGTTCAAATCCAGAGTTTGGAAAGTATATTTCCCCTACTCGAGGGAACAGCACATCCTTCTGAACAACTTTCCCAAAGGATTTTCAAGTCTCTGGATAATGGTTGCTTAGTAAATCAGGAATGGATCACTTAGACAGTTTCACTGTCTTTTGCCTCTTTCAATATTTCCGTACACCTAAACTTGATTAATGAGAAGCCACAGAGGAGAACGGTTCATTTGCTGTGTGCCTAACCTGCACTGGACATGCTGTGGGTAAATTTCACTGCAGTCACCTCGCTAGTAAGTTGCTGGGCAGGAATTTGAACCAAGGGGTGCCTCATTCCAAGAGCCATGGTCCTGCTCCTTACATTATAAAGTTTCCAGGCTTCTTGCTGCCACAGAGAGGTTGCAGGTACAGTATGTGTTAGTTCTAAGTATTCATTAATATGCTAAAAGCTATCAGCAACCTGAGTCCAGCTTATTTTATTGTCATCTAATTTGTTTTATCAGCAGAGGCAGCCCTTTGGCCACATGCTTGACAAGCATGGGACATTCCATGGAACAGAACATCTCATATCTCCATACTCTATGCATTGGCTTCTTTGACTTACCTGGTGTGAGGAGGGTTCCTCTTTCAGATTTTCATCCAGGTCCATACCAACTCTGTTAAAGAAAATAGAAAACTGGTAAATGCCCTGCTGCAGAAGGGACAGTCTTGTGTGTCAGATCACCTGACCCAAACACGATGAGAATCTGAGGAAAGATTTGGCAGAAAACCATCCTATGCTTCCCTGAAATCCAAAGAACCTTAAATAGGCAAAACAAGATGAGAACTTGCAGAACTGGGCCTCAGAGGGCAGTTCCTTGCTACTGTCTCTCCCAAGAGCTGGGTCCTGAGAACCTGGGAGAGGAGCCATCAGGAAAAAGACCTTCATAGCCCTGAAAACAGGGATCCTGGAGGTAAGGCAACCTGGCACCCCTGTAGGACCCACTGACCAAACTGCCCTGGGAATGTGAGTGCCCAGCCTGGAGCTGGGGTCCCAAGACAGAGAAAACCAAACTCTTGTTCAGATGGTCACCAAGGCTGCAGGTACGGAGGATTCAGGTTGTGGGGCCTGACGCTTATATAGTTTAGGGGACTCTCTTTAAGAAAAATAATTAAAAAAATACAAAATTGGGAATGAAAGTGACTTTTTAGAAGGAGAAAATAAATTACAAAAAAGTTACAGATTTTTAAAAGCTAGCTAGTGCAATAGACATTTCAAAATCCAGAGAAACCACATAACATTTTAATTAATTAACTGCCTGCCACACCTCTAAAATAACTTTCTCCTCTATAATTTTTGCCTACATACTTTGGATACTCTTTATATGATAATTATTTTGTATTAGGGAGAATAGAAAGATAAGGTACTTTCCTCTAGCAAGACTGATCAAAGTTACTGGTAGTGGGGAGGTATTCACACACGCTTCCTTCCCATAGCCACGCTTGCCGTGTGCAGTACTGTTACAGGGCAAAGCCCTGCAAATGCAAGATTTCTAATAAATTTCATTTCATGCAATTCCCATAAAAAATGCACAGTGCACTTATCAGTGTGCATGATTGGGAGAATTTTCCAGAGTCACTTCTAGTGGAGTGCATTTCAAACCTTGTTTTTCCTCCACTACCTACAGACTTCTGATGACAGGAACCACAGGACGTGTTCATGTTTAAGTCACCCTTGTGCACTATTCCTGTAGGCTGTTCCCTAACGTGGATGGCCTGTAGTGACCTACCCATGCACAGAAGTGACTGTGACCCACACAAATATATCCTTCTCAGTCCAAACTGAATGTATTCCCAATTCAGCTTCCTGTGGTTGCATCCCCCAAATGCCCACAGCCACTCCAGTGCCATCTGGCCAGAGCAGAAGTGTGAGGGAGGGGTGCTGTAGTGGGAAGAAACAGCAGTTGAATCCAACTGTGTTTAAAACATATTCCTTTTGTGACTCTTACAAAAGCTGCCCCACAGCCCTTCCTGTGGCTGCCACCACCGTTGCCAGGCTGTCCACTCCTGCCCCTGTAAACACCTCTGTAGTCATCTTCAGTCCTGCTTTCAGGGTGGGGTGGGGTGGGGGGATGAAGGCAGGGCTGGAAGCTGCCGGTCTGGAGAATGTGTGAACGTGTAAAATCGTGTGAAAGGAGAGCAGTGAAAGTGCAGACAGTGAAGATGCGGGTGTTTTAACTACCGGTTCTTCAGAGCTTGGTGCCCTCTGCATGAACAGCCCGGCTCTCTAACCAACGGGGCAAAAGGAATGGAGCTTCTTTGTGTGCTGAGCCTTTGGCCTTCAGGTCGCTGGGAAGGGCATCAGGAGGGGATGACCCTTTGATCCAGTCATTTAAAGAGGAGGCAGAGCAGAAAGGGAAGCGGGAGGAGAAAGGGGAAGGGGAAGGGGAGGAAGGAGGGGAGAAAGAGACGCAGTGTGAGTCAGGGAGGCCTGCCCATGTGGGTCCTGTCCAGTCGTGACCGACCTGGGTGCAACAGCCCCACGTGCTGCAGGGTGGATCTGGGCTCTCTGGTGGCCACTGGGAGCCTCCTGAGAGACTTCAGTACTGAAGAAGCCCACATCTTCCCTCCCCCAAAGGCTACTGGACATCCAGGTAGGCTGCAACTTGCACTTGCACTGAGGGTCGTGAAGCTCTTACTTATCCGTTCAAGGCCTTTCTCTAAGTTTTCTGTGTAGAAGACAGGAGAGAACAGAAATCCAATTTCATGAGAAACCCAAAATTTAAAGTCTGAGGCAGTACTGCAGTTTTCCACTAAAATTTAAGCTTTCCTCACCAGCAGCAATCAAAACAGACATTTCTAGCTTCAATTATTCCGGCAGCCAGCTGGAACTGAGGCGTGATGGCAGCGGATTAAGTTCTTCAGTTTTATATGGGGCTTGGTGAAAAGCATCTCAGGGGCTTGACGGAGAGAGCCCTCTCCTCCCCCCACCCCTCCTGTCCCCTCCTGTCCCCTCCC